CCTAATTCCTTTACTGTGTCTGAGTGCATTTAAAACAACCAAGGGCAACGAGCTATTATTTGCCATTCAGCGTTTGACAAGTAGGTGAAAGGCAATTTCACAGAAAACATCTTTTTTAGGGCTCAGAGAAGGGTCAGGCCATCTTATTCAGAGGAGTTTAGGAACTTCAGTAGGGCTCTGAGTCTGAGATGCTATGTCCAAATTTTCCTCCAGCTAGATGGCTTCTGTCAGGACTTGTAATGCAAAGCAATAGGAACTGGAAGTCTAAACGTTAGTGATGGGAAGTACACAGACAGGGCCAAGAATGCATGCAGAAAGTCTGCATGTCTCTCCCACCTCATGATGCTCAGGACCAGTCTCAAAGTCAACCCTCCTCCTTCTGCTCCCTTTAGGGGCACATCCTGTCTTTACCTCATTGAGTCATTCTTTTGTCACCCATGAGCAAGATGTTCTTTCAGACTTACTTTGCACTGAAACATCTGGATTACTTATCTATCAAGATAATAGCTTGCTTCTCTTGCTCGATTTTTCCCTTCTCCTTTTTGTTCAGCTTCTTTCAGAAGTTCCCTCTTAGCAGAAAAGTACCAATCCAATCAGAAAGGCAATAGTTCTGGGAGTAGAACAAAAAACCACTTCCATTGTAGATGCATTGGGTGGGAATGGGAAGAAGTGAATAGATAAAGATCCAGCTGTATTGGGGGGGGGCAGGTCATGAAACAGGTAGATTGACCCACTCTAGTGGTGTAATGTGCATCTATCCATCCATCTATCTATCTATCCATCCATCCATCCATCCATCCATCCATCCATCCATCCATCTTCTCATTCAGCTATGAATAGTTGGATGTAAGAACAGGTCATGAAATGAATCTTGTGCATAAAGAATTCTTGTAGTATATATGTACAGTCTCTCAAAGAGAGAGAGAATCCAGTAAAACACATAAATGACAAATGACAGAAGTAAGAACAAAGCGCTGTATGTGCCATGACTATTGTCATGGAAGATCTGACCTGGTCAAGGAGATGAGGGTGCTTCCCTGTGGAGGGTGTCTCTCAGCTGAGAACAAGCTTCCTTGTCTTGTCTTTGACACAGCCCTATCCACCAAATGAGTTTGGCAAATACTGCTGGTTTTTTCTCCAACACCCACTTCTCCCTTTGTTTTTATGCAGGGCCCAGTCAGGTATCAGGTGTCCAGCCCCAGGGGATGTGGCAGTAGCAGACTATGCTAATGAAGGTCATTGTATTCTTTTTTTTTTTCCCTAGACTGAATTAGGAGTGGCTATCCCACTCAGCTCTAGTCATTGAGGCATAGCAGAAAATTTCCTTTTTGCTAAAAAAAGAGAGGGGAGAGGAGCCCCCTCCCTACCCCTCATCTTGACTCTGGTTCCTTGAGATATCACGGACTGCTAAATCAAACCTAAAACTGATTTTCTCAGAATTTCTTAGGAAAGTGCTGCATGCCCAATGTTAATCCACGTTTAGCCAGGCATGCTATGGCTTGCAGCTCCAAGTATCCTCCCTGGGACCATGCCACAAAAAGATGCAGAAGAGGCTTAGAGCCTGTACCTACTCAGCCCTGGCAGAAAGTATAATCTCCATGGCCCATTTGCTCTGGGCAAATAGCAAAACTTGACATAGTAGTCACAGTAGTCTGATGGACTTTTGCATATGGCCCTGGGATCTGATGCTTTCTCTTTGGCTGGGAGCTCCTTGGCTCCTATGTGTGAACACTGCTTAGAGTACCTCTTGCCTCAGGATTCAGAAGACAGTCTCTTGTTTCACAATGAGTTCACAGAATTCAAAGACCAGACGGGAGAGAGAATGGATCTCAAAGGCAGTGTCAAAGATGGTCACTTCTTAGTTTCATAGAGTTTTATTTATGGCTGGGCATCGGTGACATAACTGCTGACCTATTTGAAGGATTTTGACCTATCCTTTCCCTTTCCTTTTGGAATCCTGTTTGGTCATCTCTCTCTCTCACTGCAGAGTCTGTTTATTTGAGCTTTCTCACTTTTCCAGAACTCCTCATTGGGATGACCAGCTTGTTCCCACAGAAACTGCTGTGATGATGGATGGAAGTAATTTAGATGTCCCCTGCCCAATAAGGTGACCACTAAGCACATGCAGCTATTGAACATTTGGCATGGGGCATAGGTTCAATATAATCAAGGAACCGAATTTTTAGTATTTAATTTCAACAGACTTACATTTAAATTTGTATATGGGGCTAGTGGCATGGTGTTTGATGGTCTGTGCATTCAATTTCCCTACTACAAGCAAAATTAGTCTCTCCTGGGTTCCAATGCACCTTCTCAGAAAAACACAAGAAGGTCCACCTCATAAGCAAATATTTGCATATAAATTAAGGTCTTAAACCTTGTAGGCAATACTGCAGCTCTCTCTCTTTTTATTGAACCCAGTGTCCCACACATACTGAGCAAGAAACCTGCCAGCAAGCTACACATCTGCATGCCTAGTACACAGATTTCTTTAACAATACCACACTTTAATCAAAGTAGAAGCCTACATGGCAAGAATTGGGGGATGGAGGCAGATAAGTGTGCTCTGTAAAGAGATAACGGGTAAAGACCTTTAGATGCTCACCAAAAGATGCCCAGTGGAAGTCAAACCCTCCACAGTTCTTGGATGCTTCTAAGCTCCTTTATATCTCACAAATCTGGCAATATTTAATGTCACAAGTGTACAGACAGGAGCTGGAAAAGAATTGGAATGGGCAGAGCCTGGAGGATGCCAGAGTTCTTGCAAAAGGATGTAAGATGACAGGTTGCTATGAAGTGAATACAATCACTGAAACATAATTGAAAAGTTGGAGACCAGAAAGCGCTTACAGAACTCACAACGGATTGTGGTATTTTTGTCAGGGTGTTAGACAGGAGTTGAAATTCTGCTCTTAATCTGAATCCCAACCTTTTAGGGAAGTGTTCTTCCTCTTGCATTCTTTTATGAACCTTGGTTTCTGGATGTTCTTTTCATATTGAAACTGGGCTATGTTGTTGTGTGTCTTGGCTTGTCTTAAAACTGCTTTCAAGTTCCTGCCTGTGTTTTCACAGATACACACTGGCATCAGAATAATCTTTGCGTACCGAATTCCAGGTTGGATAAAGTGTGGAGGACATGAGGCTGGGCAGATGCTATGGAAGAAGTCGACCAGAGGGGTGAAAAGGACCCAAAAGCACTTGTTGATGAGGGAGCAGAGTGCACAGCAATGCTTGTGTTGTAGGATTTGCCCTTGGGACCTCATTCTCTTGTTCCAACCACAGGCACATCTGCTACCAACACTTTACCTTCTCTGTACTGTTTGGAGTGGAGAAGATTAATTTTAGTTAAGCCACTGCTCAGAATCCATGCCTTTCTGCTTAAAACATTTAAAAAGTCAGTCACATATAATTTTTACACAGATACGTGGTTAATAAATAAGCACACATAAAAGTAAAAGCACACATTAAAAAAAGTAATTAGCAGGCAAATCTCTCGCATGTTTGCAACACAGTTCAGACTCCAGTTTTCCGCACTTCCTTACCCATTTGGGGAAAGATTATTGCAGAACGTAGCAGCACCCTGTTGACTCCCAATCTGTCCATCTTTCAAGTTCCATGTGGAATCAAGTTGCAGAAATCCAGAAAGTGGGAAGAAGTGCACAGAACCTGTCTGGATTAACCCCTCAGTCCTGATGTTCATGGGCAGTCCAGGGAAGGACAGTCATGTCACAGAGACCTCTTGTCCCCAAAGTGTCTGGATGACTTATGGCATCCTTTCTGTAGACATTTCCTAATGTCCACTCTGTACACTATGAATTTCAGTCCATTTAAATGAAAAGACAAAAGATCCTGCCAGGGTTGAGGTAATTTAGAGAAGCGGTATTTGACAGAAGGGATTTTGTTCCACTTAGGAGACATCTGACAAGTCTAAACTTACTCTCACTACCCAGGGAGCATGGTTCTCGTCTTCCCAGGGCCTTAATCAATATCTAGACATTATTGGTTGTTGAAGCTGGGTTTGGAGTGGCATCCTACTCTGATGGTGTCAAATAGTTGTGACAAAAAAATTAATTGACTCAGAAAGTCTTGACAATCTTTGAGAAACCTTGGCCCAAGGGATAGGGCAGACTTCACTGGAGTGAAAGATGGCTCTCAAAAAAGTATCAACATTTCACTGTTTGAAGACTAGTAAATACTACAAGGTGGCTCAAAGAAATCTCAGAAATGTTTCACTTAGACTTTTCTTCAGTTAGTAACTTAGTCAATTTCCTATCTTCATGAGGTTTTTTTTTTTTTTTTTTTTTTTTTTTTTTTTTTTGCTCTCTCTGGAAGAGCAGGAAAGCGAGGTCTCAGAGTACACAAGTGATCTATTCTCTTAAGAAGTCTAGATCTTTGACTGTGGCATCTCAGAGGCAATTTGTGTAAGCGATTTCTCCATGCCTATTTGCTGACATGGCCTGGCTCCCAGAGCTTCCTTGCTATTCGTAGCCGGAGAAAATTGAGAACCTGTGACATATGAGTACTGTCACATAGGCTGGGATGGATCAGGTCCAAATAGTGACAGTAAGAAGGCTGAGGAAAGTCTCAGGACGTGCTCACAGAATTTGTATTGAACAGGTGGGAAAAATAAAAGCAGATGCAATATTTTTCTTTCTGATTATAAAAGTAACACAGACATTGTCCAAAAAAAAAAAAAAAACCTCCCAAGTTCAGAAAACTATAAAAGAGGAAGTAAAAGTCTCCTAATTGCACTCCTGGGGGATATGAACCAAGAAATGCTTTTGAGAAAAACAAGAAAAGGAGAATAAATGTCAGGTTTTCTGAGACAATGAGCTAGGGAGATTGAAGATGTTTTTTGAGGATAGCAGAGTGTTCGGTCTGAACACTGATTGTTTGAGATGATGTTCTTTGAAACGCAAGATAGCTGAGTCCCTGACCTTGCCTGAATGAGATGAACAATGGAAGGCAATCATGTGAGCACCCGATCAAGCCCTCCTTACCTTCAGGTCTCATGTGCAAAACCTCTGCGGTGCTCACCTTCACAGATACCTTTAGCTGAAAGAGAAGATGATTCATTTTAGCTCAAACATGACAAAGCAGGACAGATCATTTCTAGCTTCCTGTGCCACGTAGCTTAAGCTGAACACCCTCACTTATGATAGCTGGGTTTACTTTTTTTGGTAATCTCATTATGAAGTAATATCAATCATAGAAAAAAGTTGCAAAAATAAATCCCATGTATTGCATCCAAATACCCTAATTATTACTATGAATAACATAATAATAATTATCCTATGTCTTTTATGTACCAAAAATTACTTTTCCCTCAAGTTATCAGAGTGCAAGTCATAGTCACAATGCCTCCATTGTCCCTAATTATTTTAGTTTATTTTCCTAAGAATGTGACATTTTTTTTTTATACAGTGTAAGTTAGTCAGAAAAGCACCATTGATTCAGTACGTAATGTATGGTTCATAGACTACTTTCGACAGCTATCACAACTGGGATTAAAATATAAGGAATTTGATACTGGAGGTCCCAGATGGGATTTACTGATGAAGCCTGATATGGCCTTGGCTGAGTGAGATTCACCCACTTTTACTTGAAGCCCAAATTGAATTCTCCATTAGTGGTTCAAACATGCTTTGGCAGAGGCTTTTTTGAGTGAGAAATGGAATATTTACTGAAATGTAGAGTGGGGCCTTTCATCTCCTGGGATGTGCCCACCAGGAGTCACAGCCTCAATCTTATCCCAGCTATTATTTCATACTCTAGGATTGTGTACAAAATTCTGGACTCTTGTTTCCCATTGGCCAGGGGTTTCAAGGGCACAGAACAGATAACTGCTGGAGATGCAGATCTCAGATAGGAAGAAACTTTTTCAACATTTGAATATAAAATAGATCTATATATTCCAGAAGCTACTTTTTAAATTTATTTTTCATTTATTACAATTTATTCACTTTGTATCCCAGCTCTAGTCTCCTCCTTCATCCCCTCCCAATCCCATCCTTCCTCCCTCAGCTCCTCCCATGCCCCTCCCCCAGTCCACTGATAGGGGAGAATCTCCTCCCCTTCCATCTGACCCTAGCCTATCAGATCTCATCAGGATGGCTGCATTGTCTTCCTCTGTGGCCTAGTAAGGCTGCTCCCCCAGCCCCCTCAGGGGGAAGTGATCAAAGAGGCAACCACTGAGTTCATGTCAGAGACCGCCCCTGTTCCCCTTACTGGGGAACCCACTTGGAGACTGAGCTACATCTCTGCAGGGATTCTAGGTTATCTCCATGAATGGTCCTTGGTTGGAGTATCAGTCTCAGAAAATACCTGCCCAGATTTTTGGTTCTGTTGCTCTGCTTGTGGAAAGGCAAACGGGACAAACATCTGAAAAGGGAGAAAACAGGGAACAGGACAGGAGCCTACCACAGAGGGCCTCTGAAAGACTCTATTCAGCAAGGTATTAAAGCAAATGCTGAGACTCAGCCAAACTTTTGGCAGAGTGCAGGGAATCTTATGAAAGAAGGGAAAGAGAAACTTTTTTTTTTTAAAGCTTTAATCATGATATATTTTTAAGGGGATAAGACTATATTTATTTATTTAATTTTAATTTTTAAAATTATTTTTATTTTTATTAATTACAGTTTACTCACTTTGTCTCCCCCTGTAGCTCCCTCCCTTCTCCCCTCCCAATCCCACTCTCCCTCCTTCTTGTCCACCCATGTGCTACCCCAGCCCACTGATAAGGGAGGTCCTCCTCCCCTTCCCTGTGATCTTAGTCTATCAGGTCTCATCAGGATTGGCTGCATTGTCTTCCTCTATGGCCTGGTAAGGCTTGCTCCCCCCTCAGGGGGAGGTGATCAAAGAGCAGGTCAATCAGTTCCTGTCAGAGACAGTCCCTGTCCCCATTACTATGGAACCCACTAGGACACTGAGCTGCCATGTGCTACCTCTGTGCAGGGGTTCCAGGCCATCTCCACGAGTGGTCCTTGGCTGGAGTATCTGTACACCTAAGGAAGCTAATCAAGAAGGAGGACTCTGGCTAAGATGCTCAATCCCCATTCAGAAAGGCAAAGAGGGTGGACATCGGAGGAGGGAGAAAGCAGGGAACAGGACAGGAGCCTACCACAGAAGGCCTCTGAAAGGCTCTACCCTGTAGGGTATTGAGGCAGATGCTGAGACTCATAGTCAAACTTTGGGCAAAGTGCAGGGAATCTTATGAAAGAAGGAGGAGATAGTAAGACCTGGAGAGGACAGGAGCTCCACAAGGAGAGGAACAGATCCAAAAAGTCTGGGCATAGGGGTCTTTTCAGAAGCTACTTTTTAAAGTTGGTGTTTAGGCTGGGAAGATTGTTTATCAGGTAAAGTGCCTGCCATGTGACTATGGGACTGGATTTCAGATCCACAGCTCCCCTGTAAGTTCTGGGGAGGCATGGGGGGACTACTTATGATCCCAGCAAACATGGGAGGTGGAGACAGGATCCCCATAACAAGCTCACTACACGGACCAGCCAAATCTAGCTAGATTAGGTAGACTCACTTGAACTCTGCTTTCAAGTGAATGACCTTGCCTTAATGTATAATGTGCAGATAGAGGGAGGAAGACACTAGACATCAACCTCTGGCCTCCTCATGCATGTGCACCTGCATATATATAAATGTCACATACACACATATATACACATATGCACATAGATTACATACAAATCCAAAAACAAAACAAAACATCCCGTCTCCCAAAATGACTTTTATTTATGGACGTAAATTCACAATTATTGTCCAATTCAGTCTCGTAATACAATGTGAAAGCCAACTGGCTAGTAGAACCAGCCAAAAAGGCTTTCAAATAATTTCTAAGCATTCAAATTCCAGAATTCTAGGAATCATCCCATGAGGAAGCTAGTACTGAATGAATGTTCTTCATGCTAACGCAACTGATGGAGGAGGAAATGACCAACAATGACCCATGGTGACCATCAGTGTCTTCATAACTCTGAAACCCTCGCACTTTGTCAACACTGCTGCTCTGATTAGGCAGCTGAATTGTGTTTGCAGCCAAAGCCCATGATATGATGAAAGTTATTTGAGCAAAAGTTGTTTATCCACAAGGCGTTTGGTAATGAGGTGTCGGGTGAGCCCACAGCTTGTGACACAGATGTCTGGGGCAAACTTCCTAGAAGTAAATCACCAAAGCTTCTCCATGAGGTACAGTGACACCAAATTTTCATTAAAATAAAAAACCTCTTAAATATCCTAGAATGCATTTTATGTTCTGGGAATTATTTTAGCTCTCTGATAATGTCAGAACAACCCCCGCTCTTATCTGTTCTCATCCAAATGAGAACATACTCTATTTGTACTCTTGTTGGAAACCCACAAGGATTAGGTAAAGGTGGAGAAGGGCACAAAGGCAGCAGCACACAGGTCAGAGGCTACACTGCAGTGGACAGTCTGAAATACCATACAGTAGTCATGAAGGTTTTGGAGCACAGAGGCATCGAAGTACATCATAGTTTCAGAAGCCCCCAACGTGTTTATTGAATGGTGGGCATTGGGCTCTTATCATTTGCTCCTCTATTATTCATTCAACATGTACCAAATGTCTGGCATGCCCATTAAGCCTGACCAATCTCTGTCCTTGCTTCCACATTTATTCTTTTCCTGCTCTGGGTTTGATGGTTCTTATGGCTAGGCTCTCTTGCCTTCATCTTCAGGAAGAGTTCAACTGCATGAGGTAGAGGATAGGAGTGGGCATGTCTGGATTCTCTTTCCTTCTACATCTATCTTTCCTGTGACTTAGTTTTAGAAGTGGTGTATCTCTTTAAGCCACATTATTCAGTTGGGCTACCCTTCCTCCATGACTGCCTATTACTGAGCCCCAGAGAAATTAATTTTTGTTCATTACTTTTTCTGCTGAGGAGTGGTGACAGATTTCCTTATTCAGCTCTGCCAACAAGAACAAATAATCTCATTGCTCTCTCTTAAAAGATTGGCTTATCTTTTACTGTGTGATCCTGATAGAAATAGAATTCAGAAAGGTTTCTTCCATTTCTATTTTGTAGAATAATTTGAGGAGTACTGGTGTTAGTTCTTCATTGAAGGTCTGGTAGAATTCTGCACTGAATCCATCATTGGGCTTTTTTTTTTTTAGTTGAGAGAATTTAAATTACTGTTTCTATTTCACTAAGGGTTGTGCATCTATTTAAGTTGTTTTATTAATCTTGATTTAACTCTGGTATCTCTCTCTCACACACACACACCTTCCTTCCTTCCTTCCTTCCTTCCTTCCTTCCTTCCTTCCTTTCTTTCTTTCTTTCTTTCTTTCTTTCTTTCTTTTTTTCTTTCTTGTTCTCTAGATTTCAAATCATACTACAGAACTACAGTAATAAAAAAAAACATAGCACTGGCATAAAAACAGAGACACTGATCAATGGAATAGAATTTAAAATGCACACATAACTTCAAACACCATAGAAAACTTATTATTATTATTTTTCTACAAAGAAGCCAAAAATACAGACTGGAGAAAAGACAACATCTTCTAAATTGGTGCTGGTCAAACTGGATAGAAGCTGCATGTAGAAGAATGAAAATAGATCCATATCTATTTTTCTACACAAAACTCAGCTCCAAATGTATCAAAGAACTGAACATAAGACCAAATACATTGAATATGTCAAAAGAGAAAGCAAGGAATAAGCTTGACCTCATTGGCACAGGAAAGGACTTTCTGAGCAGGATTCTGATAGCACAGTAACTAAAACCAACAGTTAATAAATATAACTTAATGAAGCTAAAAGTTTCTGTACACTAGACAACATCATTTGAGTGAAGCAGCCGCTACAGAATGGTAAAAATTCTGACAGAAGATTAATGTCTAGAATATACGAAGTACTAAAACAACTCCCAACATCAATAAAACAAATAACCCAATTAAAACACGTGATACAGAAATAAACAGAGTTCTCAAAAGGTAAAACACAAATGACAGAGAAATAAGAGTATTCACTATATTCAGTCACCACAGAAACGCAGATTAAAACTACTGTGGGAATTCACCT